AGAGCAGGTGCACAGCACCTGTTTTCAGGACACGCTAGGGTTTGGCCAGGCAGGAATCCGGGTGGGGTCTCCCTGGCTTCCACGTGCAAATGCAGGAACAGGCGGGGGAAACAGGTGGGGTGGGGGTGCTGACGGCATCCCTGCAGGAGCAATAGCAGATGCAAAGGCCGGGAGGTGGGGATGGTGCTCAGTGCTAGCGAAGGAGGGACTGGGACCGAAGCTCTCAAAAGGACAGAGGTTCAGAGGTTCACGTCCCAGCTCAGCTGGGTACTTGCCCGGTGGCCTTGGCCAAATTGCTTTTCTCACCTGTACGAGGAGATCCATTAGGCTCTCCCCCCCATTCATGCCTGCCTCGTATTTAGGGAGTGTTGCTGCCTGTATTGAGCAGCTTGTTGTTCTCGGCTCTGAAGGTACAGTGGAAGGGGACCCAGCTTGGGGAGCATCTAAAGGAGACGCTGAAGTGCCCAGAGCCGAACTCAGAAACTGTGGACACACCTGAGAGAGGGCAAGGGAAAGGGAGGGAGACAGAGAGGGAGAGCAGTGTGGTTGCCTCTTGCACGCCCCCTACTGGGGACCTGGCTCACAACCCAGGCACATGTCCTGACTGGGAATCAAACTGGCTACCCTTTAGTTCGCAGGCCGACACTCAATCCACTGAACCACACCAGCCAGGGCTGACTCTCCTTCATTTTTTTATTGCTAAAGCCCTTCCTGCATTCCACATTCATTCACTCATTCATTCACTCATTCACACATTCATTAAGTCAGCCAAACACTGAGCACAGGCTGTGGGCACTGTGGGGTCCCACCCTGGCCTCCTGGGACATGGCTTGGACCGGATTTAGAGGACATCAAGGACTTCAGTGAATATCCAGGGGCTCCCAAAGGGCACAGGGTATTTCCAATTTGGCATCTCCGTTTTCCTCTCCTACAGGCTGGGGAGGAAATTTTTCCCTAAGGAGCTGTTTTCCCAGAGCACATGCTAAAATAACCCAGACAACTAATGAAAGTGTCAGTTTCCTCAGCATTTAACAGCAGCCAGGTGCTTCACTTTTTTATCCCTTTGAACCCTCACGTAGAAGGAAAGCCCTGAGCTTGAGATGACCGTTAACCTCACGAGACAGATGGGGAAACTGAGGCTCAAAGAAGTCCCATCTGTTGCCCAAGGCACAGAGGGAGCCAAGGCCTAGGCGCTTAGATGCTAACCTGCCTAGTAACTGATGACCTCAGAGTGCACACCCACTGGGCTAAATCTGCCCAGCAACCTGTGACATCACTAAGACCACGCTCACGTTCAACCTATAGGGTACCTGATAACATCAGTGAACAATTAATTAGATGCACTGAGGGCCTAATGAGTACCAGACGCTGTGCTAACCAACCCTTCCTCTGGGTTCACGCAATGTCCAGTGTTGCCTCTACTACTGTGTGTAATAATAATTTTAGCCCAGAGTATTGACTATATACTATGAGCCAATCTTTACTGCTATTGGCCCGTTAAATCCTCCCACTATTCCTATTGTTAAAAACTAACATTTATATAAAGCTTTCTTGGTGCTAGGCACGGGTCTTAACACTTTTTCATGCTCACAAAAACTCTGTATAAGGTAATGATTGTTTTAATTCCCATTTTATGGATGAAGAAACTGAGGCACAGACAGGATGAGTGACTGGACCACAACCAGACAGCTGGTGGGACATAGAATTCAAACCCACACATTCTGGCTCCGGGTTTATGCCATTAACCAAGGCGCTGTGCTACTTCTCTTACCCCCGTGTTACCGTTGTGGAAACTGAGGCACAGGGTGATTTAAGCACCTGACCTCAGCTCAGCTGGAAGGTGCCAAAGCCAGACTCTGAGCCCAATATGTGCAGCTCCAGAACTGCACTTAAAACAAGTTTTTATTTATTGATTTGAAAGACAGAGGAAAGGAGAGAGAGACATCAATTTGTAGTTCCACTTACTTTTTAAAAGATTTTATTTCTTTAATTTTAAAGAGGGGAAGGGAAGGAGAAAGAGAGGGAGAGAATCATTAATGTGTGGTTGCCTCTGGTGCGCCCCCCCGCACTGGGGACCTAGCCTGCAACCCAGGCCTTTGCCCTGACTGGGAATTGAACCAGCAACCCTTTGGTTCGCAGACCCACGCTCAGTCCACTGAGCTATACTAGCCAGGGCTGTTGTTCCACTTATTGAAGCATTCATTGGTTGATTCTTGTATGTGCCCTGACCAGAGATCAAAACCATAACCTTGATGGTTGGAGACAATGTTCTAACTAACTGAGCTACCCGGCCAGTGCCCAGAACTGCACTCTCATTCATACCTGGACCACTTTGGTTACTCAGAGGCACGGCCAGAGAAGGCCTCACCCCTACCCCTCTGAGGTAACCAGCCCTCCCTCCCTGTGCCCTGGGGAACAGCCCCCAGCCGGGAACAAAGGGGCCTTCACCAGCAAACCATAGACCGCACCCCCAAGATTCCCAAACAGTCCCCCTCTGACCCTCTTGGGACACTGCCCTTTGGGAACACTGGCTGGCTGGGCGGAACCTCACTGGGGCTCCCCAGAGCCCTCCTGGGACCCCAAGCAGAGGACACAGTTCTCTCTGTAGCTTCTGTCCTTGGGCTCCAAGCCCGACCCTTATGCCAGGCCTCAGAGAAACTCCCCATCCCACAAATCTCCGAGGCTGATGGAGGCCTTCCGGGAAGACACCAGGAGCTTGTTGGGCAAGTCACAGTCCTCAGCGGTCCTCCGTTGCCTCGTCTGTCAACGGGGCAGACAGGGAGGAACTAACAGAAAAGGCTTCTGCAAGCCAGCTGGGATTTCAACATCACTGAACCCAACACCTCGCCTCCTTTTTTATTAGCAACAGCTGTTTTCGTGGGAAGAGTATTTTTTCCTTTTAACATTTTACTCATTCATTCAGTGAACTTTTTAAAAGATTTTATTTATTTATTTTTAGAGAGAAGGGAGAGAAACATTGATGTGTGGGTGCCTCTCGCACGCCCTCTACTGGGGACCTGGCACACAACCCAGGCCTGTGCCCTGACTGGGAAGTAAACCTGTGACCCCTTGGTTTGCAGGTCGGCACTCAGTCCACTGAGCCACACCAGCCAGAGCAGTGAGTGCTTTATTAAAGTAAAGTGCACAGGAGTACCGTGCAATGGCTCAGGGAATTTTGAGAAGTGGGCACACCATGTGACTAGCCCTCCACCTGCCCCACCCCACAATCACCCATTCCCCCAAGGATAACCTCCATCTACCTTCCAAAGCCACAGGACACTTTCTCTTGTGTTTGACCTTCCCGTGATTGGACTCTGGTGATCTGGACGCTCTTGTGTCCCTTGTCCTTCAGTCGACATTACGTTTCTGGGCTTTTTTCTGTGCCATTGCCCCCCACACACACCTTTTTTATATAACAGAAGATTTGAAACATCCTCTTTGCTATTTTGAAATAAAATCCACAGATGATATAGCCTATTTACAATCCCCCTCCCACACTTTGCTGTATTGTCCTAACTATTCCATAAAGACACAAAAAGCCCTGGCCAGGTATCTCAGTTGGTTAGAGCATCCTTGGAACATGCCCGGGTTGTGGGTTCGATCCCCGGTCAGAGCACATACGAGAATCAACCAATGAATGCATGAATAGGCGGAACAAGAAATCGATGGTTATTTTCCTCTCTCCCTCCCGCTCCCTCTAAAATCAATAAATGAATGAAAAAAGAAAGAAAGACACAAACGGGTGGTCATGCAGTGTGGCAGCTAAGGCTTGGCAGAGACAGGTATTGTGGGGCCTGAAGCTGATGTCATTTTGCGGGGGGGTGGGGGTGGGGTGGTGGTGGTTCTCCCTAAGGCCCCCAATAACTGTCGGTAGAGGGAATGGTCAATCAGAAGGAGACAAAACATCCTAGCAACTTGCTTCATTTTGAAGGCTGATACCCAATGCAAACGTTCCAGAAAAATAACACACCAGCTTCTGGGTCCCAACGCTTCCAGCCCGAGTCCCCTCCTCCACCATAAATTTCCGGTGCCCAGCCTTGGCTGTCCCCGAGCCTTCATGTCACTACACCCGGCAAGCTCACTGTGACCGTGGCAGACGTGACTGTAAATTTTATCGGTACCCCACCCCCGCAACTGTGTGTCCCAGTGAAATGTGTTCCCCAAGTCAACTCAGTCCCCCAAATACGCAGCTCTCTCCCACACCACGGACAGGAGACTTGGGGGGGGGGTGGAGACTGTGAGAGGAAGGGACAGCGGAGTGAACACCCCAGTGGCTCCTGAAACACCCCACTTTGGACGCCTTTACTTCTGTACGAGGCCATGTGAACGCGCTGCAGGCGATGTGGGCAAGCGGCCCGAGCGAGGGGCTTGAAGCTTAAGCCGGTCGCGTCTGCGTCGGCAGGTGGGCTGCGCCGCTCTGTGGTCTCGCAGGGGTGGGCAGGGCGCCTGGCTTCTCCGGCCTCCGTCTCCTCATTGGTAAAATGGGGTGGTGGCTTAGCGTCTTCCTCGAGAGCTGGGGTGCAGAGTCAGTGTGTGGGGAAAGCATTTAGCCCCACTTTGCAGAGGTGAAGGGCTCTCCGTCCCGCCAGCTGTGTGGCTTTGGGGAAGTCCCACAACCTCTCTGGGCCTCACTTTCTTCATCCACAAAATGACGATAGGAATCATCGTCGCCTCGCAGGATTGTTGCGAGGTTTCAGCAAACCATCCTCACTGTGCAGATGAAAAAAGGAGGTGCAGAGGAAGCCCCCTGCCAAGGTCCCACTAGCGAGTAGGGTGCTCCTCGCCCATCTCCCTGCTCACCCTCCCTCCTGCGGGGAGATTCTTCTGCCGCTTTCCGCCGCCATATCTCCTGGAGACCTCAGCTGCAAAGCTGGACACCCTGCAGGCTCCTGGGACCTTAGTGGACACTCCAGTGCAGGCCCCTGGCCCTGTACCCTCCCAGGTGACCTCTGACCTCACCTCTTCCCCGTTCTCACGGTGTCTCCCCCACCTTCCTGCAGCCAGAAGTTGTCAGGTGAATACTTCCGGTACAAAGGCATCCCCTTCCCCCTGGCCGTCTACTCACCCGAGAGCATCAGCAGCACCGAGAACGCGGAAGTGCGGGACGATGACATCTTCGTGGTCACCTACCCCAAGTCAGGTACCTGCTGGGTTGGGCGGGGTGGGGGTGGGGCTGGGGGGCGTGGACCGAGGGTGTGAAGGGCACACTGAAGACAATGGGAAGAGGAAAGGGAGTTGGGTCTGCTCAGAGCTGGGCGACTTGGCCTTGGCAATGGCAGGTCCTCCCCTCCCCCCCAGCCCAGGGGGACCCTCCCGGGACCCAGATCCCTCTCCAGTCTCAGGTCAGCTGTCACGTCCCCAGGCAGACCTTTGCTGACCTCAGTGGCTAAAACAGCGTCCCCATCCTGTGCCTCTCTGTCCCCTTAAGTAACCTCATTCTTGACTCCATGCAACAGTACCAACCACTACATTGCATTTTACTTCTTGATTTACTCTCTGGTTTTCCCACTAAAATGTGAGCTCTCTGAGGGCAAATAGGGCAAAATATTTCCTTTTTATTAAAGATTTTACTTATTTATTTTCTTAGAGAGGGAGGGAGAAAGAGAGGGACAGAAACATCCATGTGCCAGAGAAACATCGCCTCTCACACGCCCCCTACTGGGGACCTCACCAGAAACGCAGACATGTGCCCTGACTGGGAATGGAACCAGAGACCTTTAGCTTTGCAGGATGACTCTGAGCCCACCGAACCATGCCAGTCTGAGGGATGAAGGCAGATTTTTTAGTTTGTCTTTTCACTACTGTGTCCTTTCAGCCTGAAACAGTGACCAGCACATCATAAGTATTCAATAAATATTTGCAGAAGGGAGGGAGGCAGGGTGTGCAGTGACTTTGTTCAAAATTCTTCAGAGAGGGTTCCGGGAGAGGAGAGACGACCTCCAGGCTTCTCTTCTCTAAAATAATAAGGTTGACTTTTTTCTCAGAATATTTTTGAAAAATTTCAAAATAGGGCATTCACCCTTTCAGCATGGAGTTCTGCGAAGGGTTTTTTTTTGGGGGGGGGTGGTAACAGCTTCGAGATACTATTCACATACCAGACAGTTCACCCATTCAAAAATGTGCAGTTCAGCCCTGGCTAGTGTAGCTCAGTGGATGGAGCACAGGCCTGGGAACCAAAGGGTTGCTGGTTCCATTCCCAGTCAGGGCACGTGCCTGAGTTGCAGGCCAAGTCCCCAGTAGGGGGCGCATGAGAAGCAACCACACACTGATGTTTCTCTCCCTCTCTTTCTCTCCCCCTCCCCCTCTCTAAAAATACATTAATTACATCTTTAAACATAAAAATAAATAAAGTGTGCAGTTCTATGGCCGTACTCACAGTTGTGCGACCATCACCACGATCGATTTTGGAACATTTTTGTCCCTCCAACAGGAAACCTTGTCCCCATTAGCCATCACCTCCCAACCCCCACACTCCTGTGCCCAAACCCTCAGCAACCATTTATCTACTTTCTCTCTCCGTGGATTTCCCTGTTACGGACACCCCTTATAAAGGGATCACACAATATGTATCCTTTTGTAACTGAGTTCTTTCACTCAGCATAATGCTGGCAAGGCTCATCTTAATCAGCTCCTCACTGATTAGTACGTACCAGACTCCAATCCTGTGCCTTGATGCGCAAGGTAAACTTTATGCACAATCCCCTGTCTCATCTGTGCACCGCGGGCACAGACAGGCATTTGCACACGTATTTTTTTACTATGGAGAATAGACTCCTAGATATGAACCTGCTTGGTCAAAGGTTTGCGATGTTGCCGGATAAACCAAGTTTCCCCCCGTGCAAGTTGTCGAAATCTGCTCCCCCAAGAGCGGGCTGCGCGTGAAGCAGCTCTGGAGACGGTGGGCGATGTTCGCCCAACCACGGGAATGCAGTTACCGCCCCTGAACTGTACACTTAAAACGGCTACATTGGTAAATTCTATGTTCTGTTCATTTTCCCACTTAAAATGGGTAAATCGGTACATTGCATGTTCTGTTTATTTGACCGCACGCTCACACACAAAAAATTATTAACTAGTAACGGGATTAAACCACCAAGGGGTCACAAGAACTCCAGTGGACACAGGAAATGCCAATACAGGGAGCAGCCACGCCCTGTGTGGCCGAGGCAGATATTCCAAGGAAATTTGCTGGGGGCGTGCGGGGGGTGGAGTAACTGTCACTGGAGCCGTTACACTGCCAGTCGCCGCCCGAGGCTGGGGCTCAGAGAGGAGCTCACGAAAACCGGGAAGAGAAACCCCATCCTCCTCCAGGGTTCCTCCAGCGCCCTCTACCGACAGAGCCTGATATTGCGCTGGCTGGCACAGGGGGAACGTTTGCGGGGTTCAGTCCCAGGATCAACCAACAGTGTGGATCTGGGCGGAAAGATCACGCACTGAGACTGGCACAGGGTGGTTGTCAGAATCCAAAGCGATATAATACTAGTAATAGATGATTTTTAACTATTATTATTATTTCCGGACTGACTTGCCTGTGGAATCCTGGAATCCACACGCCTGTGACCTGGGTCATGAATGAGGTCCCTTCCATCTACAAGTCATTGGTGGTTTCTCACACAATGGGGGAGGGGGGGGAGTTACTCCCAGAAAAAGGCCGTGGAAAGAGCGGAGCTTGGATTCAATTCCAGCTTCCCCTATGTATTGACAAGTCCTTCCACCCTAATACGTGAGCCACAGAATCTAAGAAACTGGACCCAATAGAAGCTTTATTTCACCCTGGGAACTCCAGCCAGTGCAGGCTGGATGCAGGGAAGCCGCGGCGGGGCACGGGCGGGATGGGGGGGTGATCCGGCGGTCTCAGACAGCCCCGCCCCTTCCTGCTGTGGCTGTGCCATCCTCGGGAGCCCCAGTTTCCACTGGTGTCTCTGCATCCAGCCAGCAGACAGGACAGCGAGAGAACGCAGATCACGTGGGAGGTGTTTCTGGGCCAGGCCTGGAAATGGCTGCACATGGCTGCCACCTGCACGTCCTTGGCCAGAACTCAGTCACATGGCCCCGCGCAGCTGCAGCGGAGGCTACCTAGTCCCATTGTGTTCCCGGTGGGAAAATGGAACGGGCCTGGGTGGACGGCTAGCCGGTCTCCGCCACCTGGGCCAGCGACCTCGTTTCTTTGAGCTTCAGTTTCTTGCTCTGAAACTAAAGATAACCAACCCTGCCACTTCCTCTGGTTGTGGGAGTCTGTGCTGCCAACTATACGGCCATTTGTGCAATAAACGCAGCCATGAGAAACCCCCTCTCTTCACCCCTCCCCACCTCCAATTAATTGGCCCAATTGCTCCCACCAGGCACCAACTGGATGATCGAGATCCTCAGCTTAATCATAAAGGACGGGGACCCCTCCTGGGTCCGCTCGGTGCCCATCTGGCAGCGGGCACCCTGGTGTGAGACCGTCGTGGGCGCCTTCAGCCTCCCGGACGAGTCCAACCCCCGCCTCATGAGTTCCCACCTCCCCATCCAGCTCTTCACGAAGTCCTTCTTCACCTCCAAGGCCAAGGTGCAGGGGGAGGGAGGTATGGGAGGTGGGCGGGGGGAGAGGGCATAACTAACTGATGGTGAATTCAGCACATATTGATGGAGCCCCGCCCACATTCTAAAGGGGAACAGGCAGGGAATCGATGGAATAAATAAGGCAACTATTGACTGTGTCCAAGATGAAAACTTGATATCGTGAAGGAGAGAGTGAGGGTTAAGGTTAGGATTAGGGTCAGGGGTGGGCGTGGCTATTATGAGTAGGGTGGGCAAGGGAGGCCCCAGTGAGAATGTCCCATCTGAGTTAAAGACCTGGGAGGTGAAGGAAGAAGCGGGTTGGAGGTGCGGGAGTGCGGGGGGAAAACAATTCCAGGCAGAGGGAAGAGCAGGTACAAAAGCCCTCCGCTGGGTGTGATGTGCCTGAAGACCAACAAGAAGGCTTGTGAGACTGGAGCCAGGTGACAGACGGGGAGAGGAGTGGAAATGAGGTCAGGAAGGTAATGGGACCGAAATGTGCAGGGCCCTGTTGGCCATGGCGGAGACTTGAGCCAGGGGAGCGCTCTGAGCTGAGACTGGAGATTTGGGTTTTCACTGGCGCCCTCTGCTGGCGATATGGGGAACAGCCCGTCGCCACGAGGGCAGTAAGCAGGGAGGAGGCTTTGGGAGATTCCAGGTGAGAGGCGTGGATGGAGGTGACCAGGGTGGTGGCCACGGAGGTCAAGAAAAAAGGGCTGTATTTTGAAGGTAGAACCAAGACAGTTTGCTGACAGATGGGATGTGGGCGTGTGAGAGAAACAGATGAGTCAGGGGTGTTGTCTCCTCGGCCTTTGGCTTCAGGAAGTGGGAGGATGGGGCTGAGCCTGGAAAACAGGGAGAGGCTTACCGGGAAGGTGCGGAGCTCCGCTGTGGCCGAGCGACGTCCCGGTGGAGAGTACCAGGGGACAGTGAGGTAGACGAATCTGGACTTGACAGGAGAGATCTGCGCTGGACACACATATTTGCAATTTGCAGATAGATAACGAAATAAGTCATTAAAGCTAGGGTCACCTAGGAGGGGAGACGGGATAGGGAATGCAGTCCAGGAGTCCCCAAGACCACCCTCGGGCTCCGGGATCCGCTGGAAGGACTCGGAGTTAGACTCACAGTCACAGTTATCACAGTGAAAGGCCAGACATTAAGATCATCAGAGTAGGGCCCTGACTGGTGCGGCTCAGTGGATTGGGCGTCCAGTCAGGGCACATGCCTGGGCTGTGGTCCGGGTACCCAGTAGGGGGCGTGCGAGAGGCAACTGATGGTTGTTTCACACATCGATGTTTCTCTCCCTTCACCTCTCTCTAAAAAGAAATAAATAAAATAATAAATAAAACCAGCAGAGGGAAGAGGCATGTGGGGTGAGCAGAGACCTGGTGCCAGCTGCCACCATCTGTCCCAAGGGACTCACAGCGCTTAACCGTCCCAGCAATGATGGGGGACAACAAGCGTAGGGAATTACCCACCAGGGATGCCCACGGGAGCCTTGACGTGCAGGGTTTTTGTTGGAGGTTGGCCACATACACCCACATGGCTGACTACCATGTGGCTGACCTTGATCTTGTGAAAGGAGACAGTTCACAGGAAAGGACATATCTGATGGGACTGAGGGGGCTGGTTGTAGAATGTAAACCTGGTAAGCGGATTGGAGCCAGGCAATCGGGGCCTCGAACACCAGGCCCAGGCGCTGGGACTCCATCCTGGGGTGTTGGAGAGCCAAGGAGGGCAGGGTCAGCTCTGGGCAAAGAAGGAACCTCTGGGGCTGCATGGAGGTTGGGGGGCTGGGGAGGAGGCAGGGAAGGAGGCTGGGGCCTCGGCTCTGGGAACAGGAAGGAGGGGCAGCTTCTCTTCTGTTTTGCTCAACACCTGTCACCCTGATCACCCCCATCCTAAACCCCATGCCTTTCTCATTCACTCTTCGTTCCCTGAAGCAAAATGGCCCTTCCACCTGACCCAGGAACAGCCCCTCTCTCCTCCTAGAATGTGGTTGGAGGGAGGTCTCCCCATCCTCTGTCTAGGATGAGGTGAAATGATCTGAGCTACCCAGAAGCTGGGAAGTCCCCTGCAAAGTCTACCCCGAGGCTTTCCTTGCTGCAGGGTCAGAAGAGAGGAGTTCAAGGCGCTCAGCCTGTGGGGCTGGGGTCCTGGCTGTGTCTGACACCTTCTCCCCCTCTCCCTGACACCCCCATACAGGTGATTTACATGGGCCGGAACCCCCGGGATGTGGTGGTGTCGCTATATCATTACTCCAAGATCGCCGGGCAGTTGAAGGACCCCGGCACACCTGACCAGTTCCTGCAGAACTTCCTCAAAGGCGAAGGTGAGGACAGAGGAGGGAGCCCCTAGCGGGCCAGAGGAGAACGGAAACAGGGGAGGGAGGAGGAAGGGTGAGGGGCAGAGTGACAGGGCGTCACAGAAACCAAGAGGAAGAGAGACATAGACGGAGGGGGAGAGGGAGGCCAGGAGACTGAGAGAAGAACCAAAGACAATGAGAGAAACAAACAGGGAATAAGAACCAGAGACGGAGAACTAAATGTAGGACAAGATGGAGACAGAGAGAGAGAGACACGGGGCACCAGATGTGGGGGGCTGGGGGTTGGCATCCCGCTCCCCCGGAGGGGCCATGGGGGCTAGTCCCTCGGAGCCCCGGCGGGGTGGCCCTGTTGCCTGGCCCTCACCCCTCCGCCCCTCTGCCCGCAGTGCAGTTCGGCTCCTGGTTCGACCACATTAAAGGCTGGATTCGGATGCAGGGCAAAGAGAACTTCCTGTTTATCACCTACGAGGAGCTGCAGAAGGTGATTCCCCGCCCCCACCTCGCCCGGCACCTCCAGCTCCTCTCCTCCTCACGCCCCGCCACTTCCCCTCCGTAAGGCCGCTCTGCTGCTGCGGAGGCAGCAGGTACCGGGGCCACGGCGGGGAACAGAGCAGGGTCCCTGAGCCCGTGAGCGGGAGAAGGGCCGTGGACAGATAAATGGAGTAGATGGCCGTCGGGGAGAAGGGCTAAGGAGGAAAGGGGAGGGAGGAAGGCAAGGAATGTGTGGGTGGGACTTTTAAGTGGAGTGGTCAGGAGAGGTGAGAATTTTTTAAAAAGATTTTATTGATTTATTTTTGCAGAGAGGGGAAGGGAGGAAGAGAGGGAGAGAAGCATCAATATGTAATTGCCTCTCGCACGCCCCCTACTGGGGACCTGATTTGCAACCCAGGCATGTGCCCTGACTGGGAATCCAACTGGCAACCCTTTATTTCCCAGGCTGGTGCTCCATCCACGGAGCCACACCAGCCAGGGCAGGGGAAGTGAGGCCTTCAGGAGAGGATAACACTTAAGCTAAGTGAGGATCTGAAGGAGGAGAGGAAGCCACGGAGATATCTGAGGAAATGTCCTGGGTAGAGGGACCAGCTGGTGCAAAGGCCCTGGGGCGAGAGTGTGCTTGATGTATTCCAGGACTGGAAAGAGGCCTCGTGGATGAGTGAGTGAGGGTCGGGTGGGAAGTGAAGGCAGACAGTAAGGACTTTGGCTTTTCTCCGAGTAGGTGGGAGCCCTAAGTGGATTCGGAGCAGGGGAGGCAACAGGATTAGTGACGTCACGTGAAACTATGACATGTGGAAAGTGAACTTCATTGGTGGCTGGGCCCTGAAAGGCCAAGGGAAGCGGTGGAAGGAAACAAGTTTGGCGTTAGACTGGGATCCTGTCTGGACCCCAGCAGACGTAACCTGGGACAGGCACCCGGGAGAGAGACGCCTCCCGGCCGGAACAATCAGGGAGGGCTTCCTGGAAGTAGGGGCCATGCAGAATGCCTACGGCTTTGTCCAGCAGCAAGGAGGATGCTGGGCTTCTAGCTGGACCAATCCACAGCGAACCTGCTCAGCCTAGAGTCCTGGGTGTTTAATCTGTCCCGAGAGTCCCAAAGCCTGGGACGCTCCCAGTATGTGTCCTTTCACCCACGGCCCCAGGCATGTTCCCTTTTTTTGTGTGTGTCCTTTGTGTATTTTTTTGTGCTCTCCTTTCTGTCAGTACTTTGTGTAGTGGGAAGAGACTGGATTTCCATGTCCAGTGAAGCAGTTCAAATCTTGCAGAACCTCGGAGGTCTCATCCTTAAAATGGGTGGAAAATGCATCCTCACAGCACTCTTGTGAGGGCCGCGGTACCCAGCGCCGGCATAGTGCCACCACCTGACCGGGTTAGATGCCAGAACATTAGCATAGGGTGCAAAGTAAGAGTGAGTGGGCCCCTGGCTGGTGTGGCTCAGAGCATGGAGCCCTGGACTGTGAAACAAAGGGTCGCTGGTTCAATTCCCAGTCAGGGCACATGACTGGGTTGCCGGCCAGATCCCCAGTAGGAGGCGCACGAGAGGCAACCACACATGGCTGTTTCCTTTTCTTTCTCCCTGCTTTCCCCTCTCTCTAAAAGTAAATAAAATCTTTTTTTTAAACATTAAAAAAAATAAGAGTGATTGGATGCTGAGGAAGGGCCTGATTCGTAACAACAGAAATAGCAAATCCCATGCACTCATTGAATCCTCCTAAAGTACAGACAGGTGCGCTACCTTGGCACTGAAACGCCTGGAATTGCTGACATTTGGTAATTTTATGTGGTTCACCCCGATAGTGTTAGTATCCCCATTTTTTTAAATTTTTAAAAAATTTATATATCTTTATAGGGGGAGGGAAGGAGAGAGGGAGAGAAATATCAATGTGTGGTTGCCTCTTGTGCGTCCCCTGCTGGGAACCGGCCTGCAACCCAAGCATATGACCTGACTGGGAATCGAACCACAATCTTTTGGTTCGCAGGCCCGCACTCAATCCACTGAGCTACACCAGCCAGGGTAGTATCCCCATTTTAAGAGGCAGTAACAGCCCTGGCTCACTTGTTGGGGTGTTGTCCTGCAAAGCAAAAGGTCGCCAGTTTGATTCCCAGGTAGGGTACATGCTCATGTTGCAGGTTCTGTCCTTGGTCCGGGGCGTGTGCAAGAGGCAACTGATCAGTATTTCTCTCCTTCTCTTTCTCCCTCCCCTTCCCCTTTCGCTAAATAGAAACGTTAGAGAGGAGGAAATGGGGGTTTATCACCTAGAGAGTGTCTGAGGCACACAGCCCCTGGACCCCATGGGCGGTTTGTCTTCATCCTGGTAAATTTCCTTTGATGGAAAGATCCTTCCGGCGCTACCCCTCCCCCGCCTTTTCCATCCAGCTTTCTTCTCCAAACCCAAAACTGGGCCATGGAGCCTGACAGAGCATCTGGGCTGCCCCTGGGTGTGAGGGACTGCCAACTTGTTAGAATTTCTGGGGCACGTCAGTGGTTCGAGAGGATGAAGGGCTGGGTGGTTATGAAACCAGGGATGACCTGGAAAAGGGGCTGCAGAGTGGGCGGAGCTGACCGGAAGGCTGGCTGTCCTGGGCGCTGATGGGGCAGGCAGAGAGGTAGAGCAGAGCGCTGTGTGACCCTGGACAAGTGTCTCCCCCTCTCTGAGCCTCCGTTTACCGAGTGGAGATATCCGTATCTCTCTACAAGGCTGTGGGCAGGATCAATGCAGATGCACCTGCAGGGCTTGGACCAGGGCTTGGTACACAGCAGGCGCTCAGTCCACAGTCATTTGGACCCTGGAGGCCAGGGTCATGGGCAGGAGCTCCTTGCACGGCATCTGGATGGGGAGGGTTGCCAGGTGGGGCAGGTGGGGGGCAGGCCCTCCTGGCAGCCCCATGTCGAGAACAGGGAGCACAGTACCTGGGAGGGTGCGTCCCTGGGAGGTGGGGGTGGGGAGCACCTGGGAAGGGCCACCACACCTGTCCTTGAAAGCCAGGCCTGGAGACTGGAACACGTGTCCCCGGGCACTAGGGAGCCACAGGAAGGCTGGGAGCAGGCCCAGGTCTGGGTGTGGGGGGCAGGAGGCAGGGAGGCCAGGGAGGAGGTGGGGCAAGGGCTTATAGGGAGAGAATCAGGCCTGGCCACTGCCAGGGCCATAGGGACACAGAGGGGACGTGGCAGAGAGACTCAAGGGCAGAGGGGTGGGGCTAGTGACTGACTGGCACGAGGGGGCAGGGGACAGCGGGGAGGCCAGACCAGGAGTCTAGCCCAGTCAGTGCCCGGGTAAGCCATGGGGCTGCTCTGGGATGGGGACCTGGGGGAGGAACTGGTCTGGGGCACAGACTGGCTGACACCCCATTTGTAACCTCCAGAAGGGTGATTCCACATAAGGTGCTGTGCTGACCTCTGACCCCTGCTGTGACCTCTGACCCCACCTCACCCCTTCCCTCCCAGCACAGAACCCTCCAAAACCCTCCGAGGTCATAGCCCAACCCCTTGGCCTGGAGGTGGGGAAACTGAAGCAAAGCGGTGTGGAGTCACCCAGCCAAGTCTGGGTTGGGGCTCCAACATCCAAACTCTGGGTCTGGTGTTCCTTCCTCGCCCGGGGTCCCCTCTCTCCGCCAGCACCCCCTGACCCCTCTCCTTTGCCCGCAGGACCTCCCTGACGCAGTACGGCGTGTCTGCCAGTTCCTGGGCTGGCCGCTGAGCGAGGAGGCGCTGGCCTCCGTGGTGGCGCACTCGGCCTTTGAGGCCATGAAGGCCAATCCCATGTCCAACTTCACGCTGCTGCCCCCCAGCCTGCTGGACCAGCGCCGCGGGGCCTTCCTCCGGAAAGGTACCGGACTGCTGTGTGGCTCAGGCCTCTTTCCCCAGCTGTAGTGGGGGGGGTGCCCGGAGCAGAACTGCCTTCACAGCGTCACAGCGGACCCGGCACTGGGTCCGCACGTACCCGGGGCCTGGAGGCAGCAGGTGCTGCGGGCATGCAGTCACCCCAGGCCTAACCCGCCCCCCACCCCCAAGGCTGCCAATGGTGCCGGCAGCTCTGAGCCTCGGTAGGCTATTCAAACCCTGAGCTGTCGCCTGAAACATGTGCGTTTCCTGTGGCTACTGTAACAAATGTCCACAAACTTTGTGGCTGAAAACAAACACACATTTACTCTCTTGTAATTCTGGAGCTCAGACATTCCAGATCAGTCTGACTGCACTGACACTGTGTGTCAGCAGGCTCCTCCCATTCGTTCCGGGGGCTCTAGGGCAGAATCGGTCCGGCTTTCCAGCTTCCGGTCTGGCCCGTGTTCCGTGGTTCCGGGCCCCTCCCTCGGGCCCCAAAGCCAGCTGCGTAGCGTCGTAGTACCAAGTCCGACTCTGACCCTCCTCTTACATGGACCCTTGTGACTGAGTGGGGTGCCCCTGGATAAATCAGGATCCTCTCCCCACCTTGGACTTAATCACATCTACAAAGTCCCTTTTGCCACAGAAAGTCACCTATGAGTGGGTTCCAAGGATTAGGACAAGGACGTCTGGTAGGGGGCGGGGTGGGGAGCCCCCTCAGACCTCACTAGGGGTGTCACAGAATATGTGGTTAAGGGCACCTGCTAAAATTCAAAATGCTGTCGCCCAAGTAACATTGGCTTTAGGACTCAGGGTAAGAGGTGGAGCTCAACAATAACCTGAGGTCCCGGACAACCGGGGGCTCGGAGGGCTCCACCCCGTGCCTGCTGGGTTGCCGGGGAAGGTTACAAACCTTCCTTCCCACAAACCTTCCTTCCGAGTCCTGCAGGGCCCCGAGGGAGGGAGGGAGGGCAGGGGAAGCAGCGGTTCCCATTGTTACTGCAGTAATGGAAGCCGTAGAGGGCGGTGCAGATGCCCGGGGGCAAGGAGGCCCTATTCTAGTCCTCCTGGTTAGTAACAGTCACAGAGGAGACGGCCCCAGGGGCTGTGCAAGGTGTGCAGGAAGGCTAGATGGGGAGGCGTTCTGGGCAGAGATTGAAGGTGTCAGGGGGTAAATGGAGGCAGGGAAGAGGTCGACTGGCTGGATGAGCAGGGGGCAGCCAAGGGAGGGAGGGGGCAGGAATGGTGCCCAGGGGTCTGGCCAGGTCCTCCGTGGCCAGGGTGTGAGTCAGCAAACAGGCGAAAAAATGGAGATAGGGCGGGGCTCGGGGGAGATCGGCGCCCCTGGCATAAGCCCCAGAGGGGGTAAAGAAGGGGCTGGGATGTTGGGCCGGTGCTCCCGATGGTCCTCACCTCGCACAACCTCCCCTCCCGCCCCAGGGGTCTGCGGAGACTGGAAGAACCACTTCACCGTGGCGCAGAGCCAAGCTTTCGACCGCGTCTACCGCGAGCAGATGCGGGGGATGCCGGCCTTCCCCTGGGACGAGGACCCCGAGGATGCCAGTCCGGACCCGGACCCCAGCCCCGACCCCAGCCCCAACCCAGATCAGGCCTCCGAGCACCCCTCTCCACAACCCTGAGAATAAACGCATCACTCCTGCCCTGGCTCTTCGCTGTTATGGAGGCGGAATGTCACCGGAGGACGGCAGGGGGCGCGCGCGAGTGCGAGCGGAGGCTGGGTGGGGACCCCTCCCCCAACACCCAGGCCTCCGGAGGGCGAGGCCCTCCTCCCCACCTGGTACTCCAGTGGGGTCAATGGCCCAAAAGTCCAGTAGTGCTGGGCACCTTACTCCCCTACAGCCAGAGTGCTGTGGGTGGCCAGGACTCCTGGGTCCTTGGGAAGAAGGGGGTCAGGGACCAGGACACCTGTGTGGGAGGGAGGAGGAGCTGGGGGCCTGGACTCCTGGGTCTAGGCTGTGAAGTGGAAGTTTCTGACATGAAGCAGGTTTATTCTGAGCAGACGTAAAAGGGAGCCCCAACCACTTACCCCTTAGCACCCACAAAACTGTCCCAGCCTCTCCAGGGCCCTGAGCTGGTCCCCAGCAGCTGTGTCCCCAGCGATCCCCAGTCCCCCATTATTCAGCTCTGCTCCCTGGATTGGGGTCTCTCCTCCCCTCAGTGGAGCTCACACTCCCGAGCCGGTGGGTCCCGGGGACTCCCCACCGTCCACCTACACAACCCAGCACGGGCGCTACGCAGCCAGGCCTCCCCTGGGGGAGCCCGGATGAGGCTGGTCAGGGTGTGTGCTGTCCCAGGATCCTGGCTCCTCCAGACGGTGTGCCCACCTTCCAGACCGTGACACTGAGTGGGCGTGGGAGCTGCCCCAGTTCCTGAATAAGTGGGAAGAAACCCCTTCTGCTTCCCACACTCTGAGGCAAGGAAGGGGTTCTGAGCAGAGGGTCCTCCAAGTCTCCTGGGATGAGCCAGCCCAGCGCGGCTCAGACTCCTGTCAGGGTCGGCCCCTGAGTCCTGCCCCGGTGCCCCACTCTGGCTGCGGGCCGCCTCTGGGTCCTGGGGTTTTGGTTGCAGCATCGTCCCCAAACCTCCTTCGGGTCGGAGACAGGTAGCGGAGGCGGCGGGTGGGGATGAGGGGCCGGGGGCCGCCCCAGGGCTGGGACCCGGAGGGCAGCCGGGAATCCACCTCTTGCCTGGTGGCGCCCCCAGTACCTCTCTGCCTCATCAGGGCCTTGGCTGGGGTGTCCTTGGAGCCCCGGGACTTCCTGAGCTGCGGAGAGAAAAGAGAGGGAGGTGAGAGCGGGCTCTGGGGGCCGAGTTTGGAGAGGGGTGGAGGCAGATGGAAAGTGAGAGGAGGAAGGAGGCGAGACAATGGAGGCAATGACCCAGAACGCAGAGGGAAGGGAAGAGGGTGTGACGCTCGGAGCTCCGGAACCAGGAGGGACGGGAGCAGGGCGGCCAGGGACTCCCAGTGGGGGCCAGGAGGTGTGTCCCGCCTGTGGCTTGGGAGCAACAGGAAGTAGACAGTAACTACCCTGGTGGAGCAAATATTTGCCAAGGGAGGCGATGCCAGGTGAGGGCTGCTGAGGACCAGGTGGAGGTGAGGACCTTGGCCCTGCCCTGCCCATCTGGGACCCGGGGAGGCAATTTCTGGGGAAATTTCTCCCTCACCTTCAGCACGGGCCTCTAGCTCCCACTTAGCAGACAGGAAACCGGCTGGGAGAGGGCACAGCTCACAGAGGGCTGGTCTCCCAGGTCAGCCTGCATCCAGGGCCAGTCTCTTGTCCTCTCAATGGCTCACTGTGTAGCCGAGGATGCTGAGGCTCTGCCCAGGGTCCCTAGAGACTGGGCCAGGCCCTGCTGAAACCTCAGTGTCTAGGCAGCTGGGGGAGAGGGGACCCCCTGAGCTTGTGAGCCTCGAATCTGGGGAGCCAGCACACAGACACCTTCAAAGCCCCACCTGGGGGGCGACCAGGGCTGAGTTCCAATCCTCCCTGGTGCCTCAGTTTCCCCATCTGTGAAATGGGTGGGTGGAGAGCTGTAACAACATCCACCTCCTAGGACTGTGGCAAAGATTGAATTTAGCCCTGGCTGGTGTAGCTCAGTGGATTGAGCGTGGGCCTGTGAAACAAAAGATCGCAGTTCGATTCCCAGTCACGGTACATGCCTGGGTTGCAGGGCCAGTTCCTAGCAGGGGACGCAAGAGAGGCAACCATACGTCGATATTTCTCTCCCTTTCTCCTTCCCTTCCCCTCTAAAGATAATTTTTTTTAAGTAAAAAAAAAAAAAAAGAAAAAGACTGAATTTAGCCTCAATCATGAAGGCACTTGGAGTGGGGCCTGGCATACAGGAAGGGGCCCACGGAAGACCGTGGTCTTGGCATTGGCGAGTTCTGTAGCCTCGCTGGGCCTCGGCTTTCCCACCCACAGCCATGCACAGGGCGGGCGTCTTGCTTCGCTGCCCTGGGAGGAGCGTGTTGTGAAACAAATTCCATCTGGGGAATGAATTGCAGAATGACTATCGGTCGGTTTCATTCTGTTGACTTCTCCTCCCAAACTGAGAACAAAGCGACCGCTCTGCCCATTTGCTAAGATGAGAACACAGAGGCTCAGAGAGGGCAGGTGCCTAACCAAACCCACCAGCACCCGGTTCTCACGGTCCCGGTGGGATTCACACCCAGGGCTCTCGGGGCCTCTGCTCCTTCCCACCGAGTGCCCTGCACACAGTGTGGGTACAAGAAACTCAGGTGAACAGCCCTGGCTGGTGTGGCTCAGTGGACTGAGCTCTGGCTTTCAAACCAAAGGGTCACTGGTTCGATTCCCAGTCAGGGCACATGCCTGGGTTGCCGGCCAGGTGACCAGTAGTGGGGGCATGAGAGGCAACCACACACTGGTGTTTCTCTCCCTTTCTTTCTCCCTCCCTTCCCGTCTGTCTAAAAATAAATGAGTAGTCTTAAAAAGAAAGAAACTCATGAACAGCTTGGTTTCCCCACCTCCCCAGGGCCAGGCACATAATACGCCCTCAGAAGAGCAGGGGCCCTCGAGTCCAGCTGCGTGACCTTGGGCAAGCAGGGCCTTCCCCCTTCTGGGCCTCTGCCAGCTATCCTCATTCCTAGGCCACCAGGTCTCACCTCGTTGTCACCGTCACTGGAGCCCGACAGCTGGGACAGGCGGCTCAGGTCCCACAGGGACCGGCTGGGCCGGGCTGGAGGGCCGCTGGGGGTCCGGGCACGCTGGATGCTCCTCAGGATGTCACTAAGCGCTGGCCCTGGGATGGCCGGGGCTTCCTGCCTGTCCCTGCCGAAGACTCGGCAGGCGGCCAGGCGTTGGGCCAGCGGGGAGACATCAGGCAGCGGCGGTGACACGGGGGCCACGGAGAGGCGGCGGGCCACGCAGTGCGGGCTGTGGGCCAGCTTCAGCCCCCCCAGGGTGCTGACGAAGGGGCCCGGAGTGGGTGCGGGTGGGAGAGGCCAGGAAGCAGCATACAGGGTCCGGAACTCTCGGCTGAAGGCGTCCACAATCTCACCGGTCAGCAGGGTCACCAGGCCGCGGTGAAGGCGTGAGTCGCTCCACGTAAAGCTGGGTGACGTGGACAGGGCGGTCAGGACGTCCACGAGGCCCCGGAGACCCAGCCTGGCCCCCATCACCTGTCCCTCACCTAGTTCACAGGGCAGGCTGTGTGACCATGACCTCAGGAAAACCCTGCCCACTCCCACCTCAACATGCCCCTCTGTAAAATGGGAGCCACCAACACGGTGGGGTCACCATGAGGACAACAGGTTAAGATACGTAAACTGGCTGGTGTGGCTCAGTGGATTGACTGCCGGCCTGCCAACCAAAGGGTCACCAGTTCAATTCCCAGTCACCGCACAGGCCTGGGTTGTAGGCCATGTCCCCAGTAGGGGGCGTGTGAGAGGCAACCACACATAGATGTGTCTCTCCCTCTCTGTCTCCCTCCCTTCTCCTCTCTAAAAATAAAAAAAATAATAAAATCTTAGAAAAAAAAGATACATAAATTATCATCTGGAATCAGACTTGAGTTTCAACCCGGGCTCGGCCCGTTCCCACTGAGGAATGCCTCAGTTTCCCCCTCTGGAAAAAGACAGGGTTTCTTCTCTGACACCGGTGGGGACTGTTTTGAGACTCAGCTGCTTCCTATAAGGACCCCCATTTATTAAGCACTTGCTGTGTGCCAGTCTCTGGCTGTGCCCACTCCGGGCGCCCGTCTGCCCACCCGGAAGACGGAGCTAAAACTCAGGAAGGTGTGAACCAGAGGACACGGTCGCGCTCCCTGCACGGCCCCCAGCGTGTGCCCAGGGCAGGAACCCAGTGCATATCTGCCATCATAGCGGTTGTATTGAAATCATCTAGCACCAGTCTTGCACACAGTAGGTGCTCGATAAATGCCTTCTTTGGAACTAAGTCAAACAGGGCTCATGCCACTTTCTCCTCCTAAGCCTCGGTTTGCCCATCTGAACAAGTGGGCTGGCCACGGGCACTCGGCAGACGCAGCGCACAGCACCCAGCGAGTGGATGACCTAGTGGGCAGGAGGGCAAGTGCTGGGCCCAGTTGAGTGGCATTGTCCTCGTTCCCTACCAGGTCAGCGGGCCAGCCTGCCCCCCCTCAGATTGTGACACCCCTCCCCCACCTATGACATCACCCCCGGAGCGGCCAGTGGGAACCCTGAAGGGTCTGTGAGGTCACCCCATTCCGCTCCACAAAGCTTCTCATTGGGCTGCAGCTGCTGGCTTGTCTCTGTCCCCGGGACTGAGAGCCGTGGCCACCGCACTGCTCTTGAGAGGGACACAGAGCGTTGGGAACCGAGGACACGCCACGTGCTGACGGTAGGAGCCCAGAACCAGGAGCCCAAGCCTTGTGGGCGTGAGGAGCGCCCTTCGGCAGTTCCGCGAGGCCCAAGGAGCCCTCGGCCTGGCTCGGGCACTGTCACCGCCGCCAGGCCACCATGGTCCTCGGCTGGCTGCTGCTGCTTCTGGGGATGGCTCTGCCCCCGGGCACGACGGGCACCAAGAACTGCATGTTCTGTGAGCTGACCGACTCCCTGAGCTGCCCCGGCATCCCCATGAACTGCGGCAACGATGAGGACTGCTTCACGGGCCAGGGCACCGCCCCCGGCCTCAGCCCCATCACCAACAAAGGCTGCATACAGGCCAGTTCCTGCGGCCATGAGGAGCCTGTCACCTACCAGGGCGTCACCTACAGCCTCATCTCCACCTGCTGCTATGGCAACCTGTGTAACAGGGCCCCAGACCCTGCAGGCGGCTGGCCAGCGGGGACCCCCACCGGCCTGGTGCTGGGTGTGCTGCTGCTCCGCGGGCTGTGACCCGCCTGGAGGGCAGGGCCTGGGACCGGTCTCGAGGCTCTGCTGCTTCCCGTGCCCCCTGCCTCCTCCCCCTCCCCCCATTAAATGGCCAGAAGCCCTGGATGACCCCATGTGGCCCTGGCTTCACCCATTCCAGGCCTGTCCACCTGGAACGCAGGCTCCATGACCCACGCACCCTGAGGCCCGCCGTTGTGGTGGGGGCCACACCCCGTGGGTGTGAGGGTGCTACAGTATTTCACGGATCCAAGACCCACAACTTTTCCATGTTTTGATCAGGGACGCTTCCTTTCATGGGTGGTACTTAAAGTCAATGAAACATAGTAAAAAATATAATAAACGCCAGCTGGTCTTTATGAAGCCCTTGTTTGTTTTGAAGCACTTCGTGTGTGTTACATGCCAGGGAGCATCACCTCCCTGAATCCTACCTCGAGGCCGGGAAGGCAGATTCTGTTTGAAACATTTCAGCCCTGACCCTGGTGGTCCTCCATGGAGGGGTGGGCCCCAGACCGGCAGCACCAGTGTCCACCGGGAACTGGCTAGAAATGCCAATCCCCAGGGCCCCGTCCCAGGCGGGCTGAATGGGGGTTGGGGCCCAGGAATCTGTGTTTTAAGGCTGAAAACCACTGGACTAGGTAGGGGAATGGCCCTCAACTTGAGGGGCACTACTGCCCGTCACAGGGGGGCCCCTGGGAATCTCTGGAGATGTTTTGGGTTGTCATACCTGGGGAAGGCGATGCTACTGACCGACATCTGCTGGGTGGAGAGGCCGGGGAGCAGCTGCAACGCCCAGGAGAGCCCCTCCCCCACGCCACAGTCCTCCGGCCCCAAACTCCATAGCGCCTCTGTGGTGAAACCTCACTCTGGGGTCACTAAGCACATCACCCCGCTCTGTGGGGGCCCACAGGGGTGGGGACAGTTGCCCAAAGTCGCACAGCTGGTAACTGGCAGAGCGAGGCCTTGGACCAAGGTCATGTGTGCTCAGATGGCCGCCCCCTGCCCCTCCCACCCCAGGCTGGGACCCACTGAGGCAGCTGCTCATTATTCACACTTTCCAGGTGAGAAACTGAGGCTCCGAGCTGGGGACACCCAGTGCTAGGAACACTCAGAGCTGGGGTCCAGGGTCAGCTGGACCCCAAAGAGAGCAGACTGGGGGGGGGGCATCAGACGGCCCAAGGACCAGGCCATCTGCGCACCAGGGTTCCTTTCTTCCCAGACACTCCGACAGGCAGCGTGACCCTGGGCAGAGCTGGGACCCCAACCCAGGTCCTCCTGGTCCAGACACAAACTGCAGGCCCCGTTTTCCAGATGAGAAAACTGGTCAGAGGGACAAAGACCTGCCCCGGGCCCCGGGGCCCAGCTCCCGCCAAGCCAGTTCTGCCCAAAGCCGCCGCCTCCCCTGGCAGGGCGTTTCCACCCATTTCACAGATGAGGAAGGAGAGGCTGGAACGGGGCCCGGGTGCTCGCTGGGCACGCTGCGGGGGAGCTGGGGACAGGACACGGCGTGGCCAGGGGGCTTCACCTGTAGGATCCCGAGAGGACCCTCTCGCCGTCCAGCAGCAGAAACTTCTCCCGCACCCTGCCGGTCACCTGCCGTCGCCAGCGGCTCTGGAAACTGCAGCCCTGCACAACGCGGATGTCCAGGTTCTGGGAGGCGGGGCCACACCTTTGCTCAGGCTACCTTCACAGGACCTGCTGCAGTTGGGGGTCCCTCCAGGCTGGTCTTACCTGGGGGGTCCCATGGCTTTGGAGAAGGGTCTGTCCCAGCTTCCCCAGAGCCACCAATCTGGGGCCTTCGGGGTGTTTTGGAGATTCCCCCTACTCACAGGGACCCCCATGGGTGGCCCACCCTGCTTCCCCCAATGCCTGGGGCATCCGATCTCAGGGGACCCGCTCAGCCGGCACCCGCCTCCATGACCCGGGACCCCGTGGGAGGGTCTGCCTCTGGGACCCGCAGCACTGGGGGAAAAAGGACTCAGCGGTCCCTGCAGCCAGGCCCCTACCTTGGTGGCCCAGGGGTTCACCCCCAGCTGCTGGGCCAGCGCCAGGAAGGCGGGCAGCTGCTGGCGGTCCAGAAGCAGGTAGACGGGCACCCGGCGACGTGCGGCCACCTCCACTAAGTCCAAAAGCAGGTCTGGGTCGGTGAAAACGTCCATGACGATGGCCACCAGCTGGGGGATGGGGAGAGGGGCTGTGGGTGGAGCCAGGGGCTGGGGGTGACATACTCTGGGGGCTGAGGGTTCAACGGCCTGGCCTCTGTGGGGTGGTTGCACAGAGCCTGCCTGTGAAGGAGGAAAGGGCGGACCTCCAGCTGCTGTGAAACCATCGGTCACATGTCTACAATGGCGTCCCCCAAGCTGTGACACTCCATGGTGGCCCTGCTCCAGGGGTCGGTGGGCTGGATGCTTCAGGGGAAGCTGGGGAATCTAGGTGCCCTGGACTCTGAGGCGGGGTTGGGGGGGGCAGATGGGAGGGCTGGCCTGCTAAGTCAGCAAGGGGACTTCTGGGGACTGGGATTTTACAGGCAGAAAAAGGCAGTGTTGATGAGCCCGGACCCACAGATCAGAGAGCCTTGGGTCAGGTCTCTGCCCGGCTATTTCCTGGCCTCCCATGCCTCAGTTTCCCCAGCTCTTCAATGGACACAGTAAGTCCCAACCTCACAGGGCCCTCGTGAGAATTACGTGTTAACCCAGGTACAGTACTTGGTGCAGGAGCTGGCCAACATGAAATCTGTTAAGAACAGGCTGGCTCGGGGGCTGCAGGGGAGACATCTGGGCCCTCCCTGGGGCGGGGGACAGGGGGAGACTCCATCCTGCTGGGGGCATGGGTGGAGCAGACCACTGAGCCAAGAGGGCGTCATAATTAGGTCCAAGGGACATGGATGCCTCAGGGCACTCAGATCCCTGGAAAAAGACTGGGACCTTCATATCTCAGAGGGTGAAGATGAAGTCCTGGGGCACATGCACTCCCAAGGTTTGGGAGTTGGGGGAGAATGTGAGAATGTCCAGGTCTGGGAAAAGGACACCAGGCCCCCGAGGCCCTGCCCCCACCTTGCAGGCGGCCTGGATTTCCTGGTGCACCAGCTCCTTGAGGGGCGGGTGGCCCTCGCCAGGTGGCTGGGTATACAGCTGCGCCCGTGTGATGCCCTTCCAGCCCGAGTCCTCTGGCCAGCCCAGCCGCAGCACGGGCACCGGCTCCTCTGACCGTCCGGGCCAGTAGGTCAGGCTGCCGGAGGCCCCATTGGCGACCGTGGCTCCCTCCACCGCCCTGCAGGACTCCTGTTTGGCTGCTGTCCAGTCCTCAGCCGCCGCTGCCAGCCCCTGGAGCTCATCTCCACTCAGGAAGGGCCGCAGCCCCTCACGCTGCACGCAGGCCTCAAATGCCTCTGCGCCCTCGCTCATCAGGGCCTCCAGGGCCAGCCGCTGGCCCTCGGAATACAGGAAGCCAGGGTTGGTCTCCGTCAGGGGCAGCCCCTCGGCCCCTGAATGCACTCCTTCCAGTGCCGCAAGCTGGGAGGCTGCCATCGGGCCACTCAGTGGGAGGATCTGGAGGCTGGGTGTCTGAGGGTTTGCCTGTGTCTGAGGCACTGACCATGTGGCATTCCCTGCGAGGCAGACCCTGTGCCGGCCCCCAGGGCAGCCCTGGGGAAGTCGGAAGGGCTCCCCGCACTGCCCCGGCTCACTGACGGACTGCCCGAATGACCAACCGCCCAGCGCTGTGCAGACCAACCGCCTGCCAGCCTCCGGCCACCATGACTGGCTGGCCCTCTGACCTTCCTGCCGGCTGTCCCTGACAATCTGGCTGACCTCACAAGTGGCCCTGCACGTGGGTTAGGCTGACCAGCTGGCACTGTCTTCAACTTGTGTGACTCGGCAGCTGCCTATCTCTGCTCCAGCACCTGACCACGTCCAGCCTGCCAGCACATGATGCACCAATGGATCCTTTTAGGCTCGGACGGGCTGACCACCCACCTATCCTGGCTGAAGGTCCCGGGCCTGCCTGACCACCTCCCAGGAACTGGCTGTCTGCCTATCTGCAACCACCTGGATGACCCTCACCAAAGGGAGAGAGAGTTGGTAGCCCGTCGGCTACCAGCCAGTAGCATGTCTAATCCACTGTCTGTGGCCATCTCTCCAATTGTCTGGCAGGCATCTCCTGCTTCCGCTGTCTCCCTGCCTGACCACCCAGCGGCACTCCCAGCTGTGTGCAGTGGGTCTGTTTCTCCCGACAGCTGGCTGGCTAGCTCACCAGCACTCGCTGGCTGCCCACCCCAGGTTCCTCCTCTCTGAACTTGGAGCTGTCGGCCTTGGCATTGCCCTTCCCCTTCCCCGGCCAGGGAACTGGGTCAGTCCCCTCTGCGGATGGAGGACCGTGCTCCCAAGCCTGGCCTTTGTGCCCTGCTCAGGCTGCTACAGTGGAACATGCTCCCCATGAGGGGACTCGTCACCGTGGCACCAGCCCACGCTCTCCACAAGCCACCAAGGCTGAGGGCTGGACTCACGGGCCACCGTCCCTCAGACGGGCTGCCCTCTCTGATCTATGCTGATTCCTGGCTGAGCTGACCCGACCCGTCTTTTCAGCCTGAGTCCCACTATCTCCAGCTCGCTGACTGTCCACTCATCCCTTCTGGAATGCCCCTCTACATGCGAGGCTCCTGACCCAGCCTGTGTCCTCCTGACCCCTGCAACCCAGCAGCCCTGCCCTCTGACCCCAGCACCCAGGCACTTCCTCCAGAGCACAGTGACTAGCCCTGCAAAGAGAAAGAAGAGGAATGAAGCCAGGTTCCCTCTCCCCTCCGGTTCAGGCCAGCTCCCCATCCCCTTGGCCTCCCCTTGCCTTGTTAGGAGGACCGTGTAATCCGGTCTTCAGACCTGCTTGTATTTCTGCCGCTCTTCTGGCTGACTGGCCTCATTCATCAGAAGTTGCCCTCAGATCCTGGGAGCCCAGCCCCTTGTGTAAACACAGGGAGGGCCCACAGAGGTCACTGAGGGAGGTCCGGGATGCGGGTCCCAGGATATGAGGTCCAGACCCAGGAGCACGCATTCACCAGGCTGCTGCCCCAGGAGGCCTGCGGCCAGACTCAGGTTTGGTGGGAGGGAGTGTCTCACCTGTTCCCACACACCCCTTCCCACCGCAGCCCCACCTCCTCACTTCCCTGTCCAAGCACCGCCCAACATCCCTAGTGCTGGGCAGGGGAACACAGGGTGTGGCTAATCCTGGGCAGCAGGTGCAGGGAACACCTGGCCTCCCGGGAGGTAGGGTTTCCGCAAGAGTGGGCTGCAAGGGTCCAACAGGTGCAGCGAGGCCCAGCATAGCTGAGCACACGCCTGGACCGCCAGGGGGCGCCCACAGGCTGATGCAGATGGACACCTCCTGGGACCGGAGGTGAGGGGGCAAGGACTCCGCCTCCGCACAACTGGAGGGACTAGTCTCCATGGAGATAGCACGGCGTCCAATCCCTGAAAACAAATGCCTTCTGGCCCACAGGTTCCCCTCCCAATTCCAATAATACACGTAAGGCCGTAAGCATCCAAAATCTTTTTAATAACAAGGTAGGATCTGGGGTTAGTTTTTGTAGCCACGGCTGGCCCGCCGGCCTCTCGCCCGCTCGAACTTCCTGCCCTTGGATCGCACGTAGGGTCTGCGGGGAAGAGAGAGGAGTTACATACAAATGGAACCAGGCCTGATATATGCTGGGGACCGAGCTGGCAACGCAGGCTCTGGTGGAGTGACACAGAACCACAGGGGGACTTCTCAACCCAGGAGGGGTCAGAGGTGACACCACAGGGCCGCTGCAAAAGCCTGGCAGTGCGGAAAGCCAAGATGGCAGGAGGGGCCAGCAAAGCCAGTGCCAGGCCTGGGGGTGCCAGCCTCAGATCCCCAAGGCCTGGGTAAAATGCAGGTGCCACTGGGCAGATGCTAACTCAGCCTGAGGTGGAGCATGCATCCGGCACACTGGCTGCTGAGCAGCTCAACACTCAGGGGAGCACACCTCTGAGCTGAACCCTGAAGGGAAGGTGGGCACCATGGGTGGGGAGTTCTGGGAGGCCTGAGGCTAAACCCGTGTGAGAAAGAGCAGCAGCAGTACCCAGACATGCATTGGGGTGTGGGGGTGGGAGAGCCAGGGCTGGGCACACTCACTTGGTGTGGCTGTGAGGGGTTCCTGGGGCCTTGCCGAAATGCTTGTACACCTCTCGGCCCTTGCGAGGACCTGGGGACAGAAAGGGGGGGGGGTCAGGCAGAAACCCCACACCCAGGAGTCCCGCAAGGAGTTACTCTCCAGGGCTCTGGCTGACTGGGAGGGGCAGTGGGGAGGTCCCCAACCTCCCAGACCTGGGCGGGGGGTGGGGGTGGGTGGGTGGGTGGGTGAAGGCTGTCTGCAGGCCCCAGCCCACCACGCATGGCTCACCAGAAAGCAGGACAGTGCCACAGCCCTTGGGGGAGTCCAGGGCCAGCTGGTCGAAGGTGAGGATCTTGCCCCCGGCCTTGAGAATGCGGGTCCGGGCTCGGCTGCTCACACGAAGAGCACACACCTAGGACGCCAGGAGGACAGGTTGGGTCAGAGGCCCCTGCACGGCCACCCAAGGGCTGCTGGGACTTACTGGTCACTGCCCTGGCCCAACAGAGAAGTCCTGACTGCTTGCTTGGCCTGACAATGCACACTTGTCGGAGGGCCGCCTGAGCCGCCCACAAGTGTTTTTATCACCTGACTCCTAGAACTCTAACCTGAGGGTCAGAGCTCCAAGCCCACCCTCCCCCTGAAGACCCCCTCTAAGGCTGCAACAACTGGGAGCCATGACGTTTAAGAAAACCGAAGCACAAAGAGTTTTCGGACTTTGTCCAGAGGTGACAAAGTGGCAGAAAAACCTAGACTTGAACCCAGGCTGCCTGGCTCAACAGCCAGCACTACCCCAGAGGGGCTGGCCCAGGAAAACCCCCATCAGTAAACACCAGCGACAAGCCCCCTCTGACTCAAAAGCCACCCGGTAGGTGTGATGCCCGAGTAACCGGGAGGTGAGACCAGGATGCAACTGGAGGCTGATGGCACCACAGCAGCCAAGGATCAGCCGGGTCCACAGGACTGCACCCCAAACCTGTGCACCTGACCCACCGCCGCACTGAGAGCCCCTCACTCACCTTCAGCTTGGGCACCTCCTGGACACGCACATCATCAGTTATCGTCCCCACAACGACCGCGGTTTTGCCCTCTCGGCCAGGAAGCTTCATCTTTCGGATCTTTGGGGGAGGACACCCGCATTAAGCCCTGCCTGGCCTTTTGAAACCCAAACCCGCTGCCTCAGGCATGCTGGCTGGTGACAGCTGTGCCCCATAGGGTGAAACCCCCCAGTGCAGCCACCTCTTGAACCAGCACAGGCTGACCTCAGGCTCACGGGCAGAATTCTCAGCAGACCTCTCCTACGAGCTAAGACTTGTGTCGTACGACTTGGACAACCTGATGAAGCCCCTGCTAAGCATCTCCTCCCAGCAATGAGAAGACCAAGAAGCCAACACAGTGGAAATGAACTCTAACCTGAGGGTCAGAGCTCCAAGGCCACCCTTCCCCTGAAGACCCCCAACTCCAGATCCGACCCAGGTGCTCCTCGAGCTGGCCCCGCTCCCAACAGCCCCTCACCATCCGGGAGAGGGACAGAGGCGGCCGGTTGGTACGACTCATGAACAGCCTCTTCAGCACCACTTGGTTGAAGGTGGAGTTGGTCCGTCTGGCCAGGAATCTGTATAGCTGGAGAAGGGAAAAGCAGGACTGAGAGCCCAGGGCAGGCCACTGCACCCCACCCCTCCAACTTTCAAAAAATAGGGGAGCAAATGCCCACCCGGTTTCCCCTGTGCTGAGTTTGCGGGGACAGAGCCAGTAGCCAGGACCTCAGAAAACACTGCCACCCCCATTGGTCACGGCCCGGAAGCTAAAAACACTGAACTTCCAGAAACTCTTAGAAATGTGAGCCTGCTCTGCAGGCTCCTGGGGGGAGTCCAGGACCAGCAACAGAATGGAGGCCCGGGTAATTGCAGGTGTGGGTGACCCCGCCCACGGGTCAGAGACCCCAGCCTCACCTTGACCAACAGCCTCAGGTAGATGTCCTGGCTCTTGGGCTCCTTGCGCCGAACCTTGCGGTCTTTGTTGTGGCGGATGTCGACTCCCTGCAGGGTAAAGGGGAACTGTAGATCTACCTCCGCCCTGGCGGATCACTCCCCGCCCACCCCGCGGACGCTGTCCATTACTGCCTATCTCCCAGACAGCGCCAGAACCTGACCTCTGTAGAGACCACCGATCCCAGGCCCACCACGGGAGACACCTGGGGAGGTCACTTCCACCCTCTGGTTCTACACTCCCAGCCTGCAGCCCACGACACAGCACCCCGAGAATCTTTCGTGCTGCAGGGGCTGTAAATCAAGCCCACCGTTCCCAACTCGCTCTCCGCCGGCTCCTGTCAAGTTTTTTTTCCAGACTCGTCAATTGTAAAAAACTATTTGGGACCTCCCGTTTAACCCACACAACGTTTGCAAGAACCCATGGTGGGCACTTCCTACAACGGATTTCTTCCCAAACTCAGATCTGTGAGACGGAATTATTGTGTTGTGTAATCAGACACATGGAGAAAGTGGGGAACGGGCTGGGGAAGCAAGATCGCAGGGCTGGCAGGGAGCTGTGACTCGCACGGAAGCCTGTCGG